ACAGCCTTTTCATTTTTAAAGCTACCACCAATAAGCAGCGGTTGCCCGAAAAGAAGGGCCATCTGAGCTGCAAGGTACTCCCCAACAGATGCTTGGAAAACAACAAGCCTCGTCTTATGAGCCTCAACTTATGCAAAACATTAATCCTCATCAATTTACATGGAAAACAAAATTTAAGAGAGCAGAAATTCTGTTGCCAGATAAAACAAGGAAAACTACAGAACAAGAAACAACCAAAAAGTAGTGAAGGGAACAACAATAATGGTCTTTTAAAGCCACGTTAAAGTGTATACAGCGTATGATCTGATCACATAGCTCACAAAAGACTGATTCACATTGCCACTGACAAGCAATGACGGCAGCTCCATGGCTCACAAAAGACTGATTCTAATCATCTTATATGATCACATAGCTCACAAATTGCCATTAAAGTGTCACGTTCAAAAAAATACCACTTTCAATAAATACATTTGATAATAGCAGCTATAGTTCTTCTCCCTTCAATCAAAGTAACATATATATAATGCAGAAGGAAATTATCCCACAGTAACATACATATAAAGCAGCTATAGTTCTTATCCCACAGAAATGGAAATTAGATGCCTTCAGTGTAAGAACTTATTATACTCCATTTTTTCATTTCAATATACACATCATATGCCCAATTCAGACACAATAAAACCCAGAACTTATTCTTTTTAAGTTTAGCAATAATTTTTTTTTTTGTTGTTGTTTGATAAATATAAGCGTGAGCCAAAACTTTATTTTGTTGTTTGATCAACATAAAATGCTTCAACTGTTGAAATATGCAGATAAAATATATAGCAAATTGGATGTTTAAACTCAATAACTCAATATATATGTTCAAACTCAATAACTCCTTAACAATTCCCATTGTAAACATGCTTAAAAAGATAAAAATTCCCAATATCTAAACGGATTTCACGAACAGTTGCAAATGAAGAAGAAAGACGAGACATGTGAAGGAATAGATATACCTGTTGAAAGAAATGGTGAAGAAGGAAATGCCAAATGCGACTTCGATCGTGAATTGGGCGAAGAGAAGCACACAAGATCTACCTGTTGAGAGAAAAACAAAAGCTCAAACCGATTTCTTGAACCATGGTAAAGGACGATGATGGAAGTTGAAACATGCGAAGAAGAAACAATTATACCTGTTGAGAGAAATGCCGAAGGAGATGGAGAATTGAAGATGCTGGAGAAGAGAAGGCAAAACACACCAGATCTTCTCCTAGGACCGTTTAGGGCTCGATTCTTGCGAAGGAGTAATGCAGATGCGATGGAGGGCAGGGTCACGGGAATCGTATGAGGGCAGGGTCACGGGAGTCAATATGTCCCCCTTTCTAGATCGAAAACGCGGACCGCGACCCCCGCGGTCCGTGTCTTTTACAAAATTAAAAACACAGTTTTATATAAGCTGTCAATAAGTGTTAATCAAACAGCAAGGCGACTTTTTCAAAACGCCGTCCGCACTTTTAAGCTGCCCCAAACGGGCCCTTACAATTCCAGGATTAAGAAGAATGAAGATTTTCTTGAGCTCAAGAATTTTATGGATGATACTTTGGTTTATTCGGGTAATGGTACACACCTTACCAATTTGTTAGCTGGATTCCTTCCAAGATTAGAGGCAGGGGCAGGACTAAATTGGGATGACCCTCACTTTTTCCGCGCCCAGGTGGTTTTGGGTTTTTTTTTTTTTTTTATATGTACCCTTTTTGACTTTTTTGTGTGTTGTATCGTGTGGTTTGGGTGTTTATTTTTTGGGCTCACTCATACAACCTATCTGTATCTTTTCTCTTTAATATATTAGCTATTGGGCTTTTTTCAAAAAGAAATATATCATTAAAATCTTTGAAAGTAAGTTCAACTTGATCAAAATTTATCTCTAACGTAATGTATCATAACATAGCTAATTAAATAAATAAGCAATTTACTCTAATTTTTGTACACACGCACACATAGGTGGCCATAAGTAAAACAATAAAATTTCATCGATGAGAGAAAGTGAGGTGAGGGGCTTACTTGATTGATCAGGGAAGCAGACTTTAAATTTGTTGCTTAGAGAAGTTAGTGAGGAGGGCTTTGGGAGGAAGAGGTTCGGTCCTCTATCTTCGGCTTGTCAAAATAGTGGTGCAAGGGAGAAAAAAAACTTCAGTGGTTATGGAGAGGGGACTTAGTGGCTGCGGAGAAGAGAGGGTTACAAGTCATCAGTTGCCTTGCCTTACCATTCCCTTAAATAGAGAAAGAAGGCGTTGTTATAAGTCAGTGCCAAGGGCGGGAGTAGCGGGAAGCCAAACTAGGAAGGTGACAACAAGTGAAAAAGGAAGGAGATTGTAGAAATTAGCGTTGTAAACGAGGCGAGCTTGAGCAACCTCAAACATGGCTTGTGTTCAACTAATTTGAAATTAATTTTATTCAAGACTAGATTGTGTTTGAAATTTTCTCGTGAACAATGTATTCATGTATGACTCGATTTACATATTCTTGTTCGTGTTTGACTCATGCTCGACTCAAAATTGGCTCATTTAAATTAATTGGAAAAATAGATGTAGGGCATTGGATTCGAACTTGCACTAGGGCTGTCAAAAAAAAAACTCGTCGTTTGCAAACAACTCGTATTCAACTCGTTAAATAGCTCATGTTAGATTTGTTTTTTAAACAAACGAGCCGAACACGAACAATTTTTTTGAGATCGATTTAGAAATGAGCTGAACTCGAACTATTATAAGATCTTTCGTGTTCGACTCATTTTGGCTTGAAATAATTAAATAATTAAATAATAATATTTATTTATATTAATTTTTATATGTATTTCAAAATGATAAATTTATTATTTTAAAAAATTATATGGCAGGTATAATTATAACATATATAACTTTAGGTGTTAGATATATAAAAACATAGAATTTGGGTGGTAGCTATGTAGGAAAAATATGATGACTTTAATTTTATATTTTTTGCTTCCATAATTTTGTTTCTAAAAATAGATAGAGCCTGTAAGTGTGTCATGCATGTCATATTGATAAAATATGTAAAAAAAGAGCCCAAATGTTTTAAGGATTAATTGTAATGAATTATATTTGTTTGGATTTAAATAAACAGATTGAATTTTTACATTACTTTGAAGGCAATTGTTATTAACAAAACTTTTGAAATGTTTATGTAATTTGAAATTTTTCTTAAATTTTTGTTATGAATTGTAAATCATGAAACTTAGAACTAAAATTATAATTGACATCACATTTTAGGTCTTTCTAGGCTACTTGACCTATTTCTGATATCTTTAGGGGAATCAGGAAACTGACAGAATTTGAAGATGCCAGTATCCTTATTGATCTCTTTATGGTGTCCTTATTGATCTCTTTATTCTTCCCGGTGTCCTTATTGATCTCCTTATTGATCTCTTTATTCTTCCCTCTCTTGAATTTTTGCTTAATTTTTCTCAAAACTCTTAGTTCCTTAGATTCTTTGAATGGCGTGGGCTTTGAGATGTGCACAATTGAGGGAGAGATGAGAATTCTAGTATTATCAAGAGTTAGAGAGGGATTTGGCGATCAGAGGAGAAAGAGGAGAGGAAGTCCATGAATAATTGCTTAATTTCTATTCTAAATAGCCAATTAGCATCGTTGAAATCCTCTCTATGGAATTAGGATTTATAATTTAAATTTAAATCTAAAACTAAACAGTATCCTCTAATTCCAAAATTTATAACAAGAATATAATAAATTACAATTTCTACCTAATTAAAAAAATATCTTAATTTAAATAAAACAATTGAAATTTTTGGCTCAATGTGGACTTAGGTCTAAGTCATGAACCTGTGCTTGGGTCCTTGTACGCATAAAAAGGCTAATTAATCCTAGCAGATTTTTTTTTTTAAATCTTCTCCAAAATAACACTTAGCTAATTTCTCTCCATGGTTTGCAGGAAATCGCCATAGTGATAACAATTACTGGCCTTCATGATTTGATCCATGCTCTTTGCTCCATTTGGAGGCCAATTAACAGTTTTTAATTTTTTGGATCTAGCTCATAGGAACACTCATCTAATTGCTTAAAGCGATAACACTCCTTTTCTTCCTACTTTGATTTGTTCGTTTTTCATCTCTTTTCTGCTTTATTGTCTTTTTCATCCATGCCCTTATCTTTCATTGTATTTATGGTGTCCATCAAGGTTTTAATGATATAAAGTAAAAGAAGATTTACGTACATGCCACTCAATTCGTATGTATTTACCTATCTAACACCTAAACTTCAATTTTTGCATACATACCTCCTTATGCATGCACAGAGAAACCAGCTATTTGTTTGGAGGGGGGTAAAGTGACCCCTTGACCCATCGTGAGAGGGGCTAGGGCAGCGAGGTGCAAAGTGATATTTTAGTAGGTAAAATTGATAATTCAGGAGGGACAAAAAATTAAAATTTTCTCCCATATAAGTAAAAATTTGAATTTGAGAGGGGCAATTGTCCCCCTAGACTCTACCTGGGTCCGCCCTTGTGTATGCATGAAAATGTGTATTTTACTTTTTAAAAGTTAAGATTGTGGTATTTTTGATGTAATATGAAAGATTTGGCTGGTATAAAAAAAAAAGTAAAGTTTGGGTCTTAGATATGGAAATACATAAGATATGAGTGGCATGTATGTAAATGCAACTAAAGGAAAAACATGTTCACATAGACACAAACACATAAATACTTACAAGTATACAACTTAAAGCTGTTTAGATCTATGATGGCCTATTCGTTTATACATGCTATGATATTCACTATGAAAGAGGGAATTAAGGTTGCATAAGGAAAATTGTCCTTGTGGAATCCTTTTCTTACAAATGATTCAATTATGTTGTTATTATTCATGACTACTACCCAAATAGTTTGTTGGATTAGATCTCTACGGATTTTTGTTTTAAATATTATTGAAGTACTGTAGTTCCAGCAGTACCTCACCTCTGCTGATTTGACTTTAAATTGGTTTGTAGGTATCATGCAAACAGAATGCTGAGCTTCTATGCTCCAGGTAGACTCCGCTTCTTATCTATTCTGTATCCTTCAGTTATTTCCATGCGCTATAATAACTGAAGGAATCTCTTAAACTGAATAACATTAACCGAATTGAAAATATTATGCTTTTTCTTAATTGTTTTCCTTGCTAGATGTAATATCCTAATGTATTTTTTAATTAAATGATAACCATACTTTCTCTTGAAGAACCTTCTACATTCTAAAACATGTGAACAACCATGAAGGATCTAATCGATGTACACTGCAGCTTATTCTTTTTATAATTTTTTCTTGAATGGTTTAATATAAGTGCTTACCTATATTTCTAGACTGATCTAGCTACTTAACACAGTATGTTGTATATACTGTTTTTGATTTCACAAGTTAAGCTCATGAGAACAATCTTTAAGTTGATGAAGAAAGATCCTATTTTTGGTTATTGAGATTAGTACGTTATCTTCTGTATTACATTCAGTGGCATGGGAGACCCCATTCAATGCAAAAGACTAACTTATTTGTAATTACTGTTTCTCAAGGCTGGTGTGGAGAAGTACGTGATGTAATATTCTCCGATGACAGAAGCGTAACAGTGGTGTACCGTGTCACAGTACGAGGATCAGATGGAGAGGTTTGCTTGAATCCCTTAGCTTTGTTGGTTCTGTTATTTTCCATTAATTGACAATTATGAATATTTGGCTGATTAATTAGATCCTATATGATCATGCATTAATTTGTCAAATCTTAAATAATTTTATTAATTTTTTATTTAGTAAAATTTTGTTTGTATTAACCTGACTAATTAATTTGAGTGGTATATTAAGCTTTCTAGATTGATTATGTTAATCAGGGCTTAATTAGGATAATATTCTGATGATTAATTATTGGGTAGTAAGTTTTTCTAATGAATCATACCTAATTAATAACTTTACTAATATTGTTAATTAGGTAGTACTTAGTAACTATGTTATTAATTCATCCTAATTAGTAAGGCTAATGATTTACTAATTTCTAATTACTTACTACATAATATTTTTATGTTAATCAGTGGCTTGTTAATTATTTCACATAATTTATGCAATTACTTGTGTAATATTATGATTAAGATTTTAAATTACTTTCATATGAATTACATAAAAATGCAAATTTTGGTTATTAAACTTCATAACACCTTATTTAATAATCCTAGTATTGATTTTATTAAATAGTCATTTGTCTTACTCTTTGTAGTGCAACATGTTACAAAAGAGCGCAACACATGAAAACATTGTCAAAGTCTAAATAATATATATTGTAAAAAATTTATCAATCTAGTGAATGCCATTTAATTGAGTTGGACCATCAAATTGTCCTACCATCTTTTCTCTAAAGATGAGAAAATGACCGAAACTTGTGCATTAACACATACTGAGCTTATTAAGGTGGGCCCTGAAAATTCATGCCCTAACCTCCTTTGTCGTGATGAGATAATTTTACATGGGATTCTGGGTCAAATTTTTAGAAGACGGATTAGGATTGCAAATAAGATATCACTCAAAGATTTCACCATCTTTTTGTGAATATTTTTAAGATATGAGATTCAAGGTTTTCTATAGACGCAAGCCCATGTGGTTAATTACCTCTCTCCATAATGGGATAGCACTTTCGATTAAGGCTAATCATTACAGTGATGCTTGTTTAGCGTATAGTAGCACTTGATTTGGTTTCAAATTATAAAATTTGTCACTACAAGCTTCAAATGGATGATCAGAGGAATGATGATGAACTCGATCAAGATTTCATGATTTGTCATCTCGAGTTGTTATTATTTATGATCTACTTAGTTAAAGAAAGTAGTTGACTTTGGTTTTTGTGATCTACTTATTATTTATGATCAACTTTGTTCTGCATACAAAGGATCAGACTCATAACTAAAATTAATTGAGTTTATTCAAATATTCTTTTAAGCTTGGTTTTGAAAATAAATGCATCAACACGATTATTATTGAGATTTTACTACAGAATATTTGCTACTAATTTAGGAATTATCATTTAAATATCATTAAAAGAATATTTCATGGCGACTTCGGTTTTTGTGAGAAAGATTATATCAGTCAAATGGGGATATTGCCTTATAGAAAGGGTGAATCGCTTGAGAGCTTATATAACTTAAGTGTTTTAAATTTAAAAAATAATAATAATTTGCATGCTTCTTGAGATAGATTATATTTTGAGCTTAAATTTATATTCAGCCCACACAATGTTTTTACACTTTATAATCGAGCTTTGAGCAAGTAGATCGAAGCATATATGGGCAATTAGAGCTTATTTTATACTAAGACTCTACAATCAAGTATTTAGCATCTTGGCGAGAGCACATGTGGACTTTAATTTTGATAACGTGCAAGTTTCTCAAATAGATTTTAAGACTCCCTGAACAACATTCTCAAATGCTAAAATTTAAATATTTAAGAAATATGAGAGAGCACTTGCCTCAAGATAGTTCCCACAATGTGCACATATTTTAAAGACATTGAAATTTGTTGAGTACACCAACTTTTGAGGTGTTGCTTGAAAGTAGCCTTGAGGGTGCATAACTCATGAAATTGTCTGTTTTGGTAACTTACATGACTATTATGTCTTTGAGGTGCATACAATGTTTTAATTTGCACGCCTTTACAATCATCTTTTGTTCGCTTGTGGGTTTATGTTGCAGATCTGCGAGATATGCAAATTAGAAATTAACTTCTGTATTATTAAGCTAGATTTTATTTTAGATTCTTAGAGTAGATGTTATGTTAAATTTTTTACTTTTCGATGGGGGAGGATTCATGTTTGTATGTTCTATTTTATTTAAGTGGGCCCGTTGTGACATCTTTTTTTCTGAATCCAGTTCTTTGCACATTATGGGGAACTTGAGTGTAGCAAGGTTCTACTCAACTTTTGAGAGTGAAGTTTCTAGTCCCATATATATTTTATACAATTCTTTATTAGGTTTAATTTAAGTAATTTTCAAAATATTTTGCGTTGACTTGATGTACATGGGTCTTAAACCCACCCTGCCTAAAAAAATGTACATGGAGCTTTAGGTACCTACATAAATAACAACAGCATAAGAAATGTCTTCCGCCGTGGCGAAATGGCGCACGCATCTTGAAATCACTCTTTAGGTACCCGCACAAAAAATATCAGAATACAAACATGCTTTTTCACGCCAGATCGAGATGGCTTGAGATCATCTTGTTGTCAAACTAATCAGCCTCCCAAAACCGACTACCTTATAGCCACTTAATATCATGACCAATGGTATCTTTTATCTTCATCTTGTCATTAGAAACAAGCTTTGAGGCAATCTTCTCATCCCTGATGGCGTCTTTATATTGCACGCACAATTCTCCAATGTGCTTTTGGTCTCCCACCATTCTCGTGTTTGCCATCCTCAGATTTATACTTCTGGATCTCCAGAACCTCGTCAGGTTTGATGTTCTTACAGAGCTCCTTCCCATTGAAAAAGTCCTGCGACCTCAGCTGCATTTGAGGAATCCTTGTGAATCATCCATCTATAACAACATCACGAAGACTGCTGTTGTTCATATTTGCATACCTTAAGCACTTCTCCACAGATTCCTACACTCCCTGAATAGATCCATGTTAAGTTTCTTGAACTTGGTACGGGTAATGGTGGAGTAGAAATCAATGCCATCATAGGCATTTGGGCAGAGGAAGCTGAAGTTCTCTTTGTCCCCTCACAAGCAGTTTTCGTCTCCATTGAGCTTTGGGATTGCCGTTGATATATTTCTCATTTTTCTTCATGAATTTCAACATTGAAAGGCTTCATGTCAAGACCATAGGCATTGGCAGCAGGGGATGTGACACGGGCGCTAAAACAACGCCAAGTTAGGGGAGCTCAACAGTGCCCGGTTACGGGCGCTAAAACAACGTCCGGTTTGGGCACTTCGAAGGCGGGGCCGGCATGCCTTGCATCGCAGAAGCAAGAGCGGTGCAGAAGTAGAAGCTGGACCACGATTTCTCGCAAGATTTCGCGAGAGCAGGAGATCCCGCGTGAAGACTGGATGGATCTAGCACAATCCGGCTTGGGGATTTCTCTAGGTTTCTCACTCTCTTCCTTTGTCTAGAAGCTTCTCCATCTAGAGAGAGCCTATAAATTGTTGTTGTAGGTATGTAGGGAGTCAGTTATGAGTGTGTTTAGTTTCAAATCTTCTATGTGGGGTTTCTTTCCCTTTTGTGGGTTTTATCTGAGGAGGTGGTGCTCTGTTTGTATCCCCTCCGAGGTGGTGATTGTATCTTCCCCAACCTGTCTCTTTCACCCCCCTTAGTCATCGGCCACTACAAGCTTCTCCCAAACTACCACACTACCGCTACCGACCACCTACAAATCTTCCCATTTGCTGCCCCTACAGTTTCGTATCTTCCCCTTGTTACCACCAGCACTTTATTGTTGTCACCACCCTCACCAATCATCCCAAACCACCTCGCCGATCTCCACCACCCATTGAAATACATTTCGAATTGTTGTTGGTGTCGTTTCATATTTTGTGTTATTTTTGTTTGAGTCATGATGTAGTCTTATTTTACTGTTAATGAAAGATTGTTCTTGATGTTTCTACTGTTTCCCATACTAGTTTCGGTATTATTTGGTGTCAGGGCTAGCTCATCCCCTAGTTTTATCCCAGGGTTTCCTAACATTCGCCTCCACCCGATTCATCTCCACCCAAAATTTTCTTCTGATTCCTAACCCTGGCCATGCCACCACGAAGAGGTACACTTGACTCAACCCAGGAAGTGATTCAGCAAGAAATCCATCGTCTACAACAGATACTAGCAGAGCTAAATGATGAAAACCAAGAAGAGGTTACCTTCATCCATGATCCAAATGGTCAAAGAGAAGTCGAACGAAGAGATGAATCCGCTCCATGGGGAAGATCTCAGTGACGAGGAATGTCGACCTCGCCATTTTGGTATCCAATACCAAAGGAGGCCAAGAGAGGATACCCCTTATGGAGGTCAAAGGGACTATGGCATCAAGATGAATCTCCTAGAATTTGAGGGAACCATGGAACCCAATAAGTTTGTTGACTGGCTGCAATCAGTTGATCGGATTTTTTACTATAAAAATGTACCAAAAGAGAAACATTGTCATAAAGTTGAAGAAAAGTGCTTCTCTATGGTGGGAAAATGTGCAAAGGCAGAGGAAAAGAGAAGGCAGTTAAAAGATCCCTAGGTGGGAGAGAATAAAGAAGGAAATGTAGAAAAAGTACCTCTCACCCCACTATCGCCAGTATATGTTCTTAAAACTCCACAACTTGCAGCATGTAGATCTCTCAGTTGAAGAGTTCATTGTTCAATTTGACCACTTGCAAATGAAATGCGAGCTAACGGAACCAAAGGAACATACGATAGCCAGATATCTTAGGGGACTGAAACCCGTCATCAGTATTGTGGTACAATTGCAGCCATAGTGGACGCTATGGGATGTCCAAATATTAGTCTTGAAGGTGGAAAGACAACAAAAGTAGATTTGGCAACAATCATCTTTCAAGCAACAAGCTTCAGACAGGTTGTCACCTATAATTACTACAACCGACAGGGATCTCTCAGGAGACACGGGCAAGCCCGGATAGGGTAATGAAA